ATAAATCATAAATTCTCTTGTTCAATTGAATCACTTATTAGTGAATTCTAAGCCAACCCATTCACTCTCTCTTTGTCATTATAAGAGAGAATTCCAAGAATCTTTTTTTTTTTAAATATTGGGGACTTTTCATGAGTTCACAAATGGAAATAATTAATTTGAGAACTTAAGTTATATTAAATTAATTAATCTGTCTTTTTGAGACTTGACACTGGCTTTAGACCATGTTTCATAGCAGCTTCCCAAACTAAGTCAATTCTGTCTACATCAATAGCTCCAACTTCATGGTGTGTCCATCCTTCTAATGAATGAACCACTCCTCCTGCATGGCATGCATGGACTACCCCTCTTTCCATTGTGTACTATTAAAAATATGAAAAAATATTAGTAATAATAATAATAATAATAATAATAATAATAATATGAGTTGATTCGTTTCATTTTATAAAAAGTGCTTGATTGGGTATGGAATTTACGACAGGAAAAAAAACTTGGAGCACTTTGCGAAAAATATCTTTATAAACTATATACATGCCATGATATTTCTGTTGTTATACCAGCATGTTATTAGGAAAAAAGGGCAGCCTGGTGCACTAAACTCCCACTATACGCGGGATCCGGGGAAGGGTCGGACCACAAGGGTCTACTGTACGTAGCGATTGTTTTCACGGCTCGAACCCCTGGTCACATGAAAGCAACTTTACCAGTTACGCCAAGGCTCCCCTTCCAGCATGTCATCAGGAGTAACATGGAACATTGGAAGATAAAGAGTTTTTCAAATTATATAAATATGTCTTTCTTTCTTGAACTTGGATTAGACGGAATATAAAATAAAGGGGTTTCAAAGAAAAGTTTTATTGTTCTCTCGAAATTATGTACCGAAGTAGAATGCATCTTTGGGTGAAATAGGATAAATCACTACTATAAAAACATGACTTAGCGACGGATAAATACTGTAGCTAAACAAAAAAATTTATTGTTAATCCTATTTACCGACGGATTAATGATAGATTATCAAGAAATTCTGTTAGTTACGAGCGATTTAGCGACAAAGTTCGTAGTTAAATCTTATTCTTTTGTAATGAATTATCTCAAGAAATAGTAAAATGATGAAAAATTACAAATTGATGGATATTGTAATGAAAATTACTGACATACCTCACAAGATCCAAGTCCTTGAACATCTTCAGGTAATCTCATAGCAGCAAGATCACCATATGTACAATCTCTTCTAAAGGACAAAATTGGAGGAACTACAAATTGATGGAAATGAGTTCCTTTTGGTGCATAACTCTGCTCTCTTGGTGTTATCCATTTTCCAACTATCCATGTCTATAAATATCATAACCAAANAGTTCCTTTTGGTGCATAACTCTGCTCTCTTGGTGTTATCCATTTTCCAACTATCCATGTCTATAAATATTATAACCAAACAAACCAAAACTTTAATATTAGATAAAAGGATGACAACAATCATAACATAATAGTAACAACATTTCTCACTTTTTTCTAATTTCAATTCAGTATAATTTTTATACATTGACGGTATAAATTTTTCTTTACTCTATCTGATCACCTTATAGTTAAGTAAAAAAATTCATAAAAGGTGGGATTAGTAATTAAGAGTAAATACACACACACTTTTTTTTTCGATAGTGGATGTATCTTAAATAACAGGTGTATATTTTGGTTGGCACCCTAAGATTCAAAGTTTAAGCAACTGCATTGGTCAATTTAAGAGGCACAACTTGACTTTTAATGCACTATTTTGGTTCGACTCTCACTCCAACACCCGCTCAAACTTTTTTTCGATAGAGGTGGTCTTGCCACTTTCAAATTCTGGGTCTGCCTCTGCTCAGGTAAATCCTTTGCATTTTTATATTGTCTAATGGCTACAAATGTTGATGCAAACCTACACTTCTAGAAGGAATTTCATTTTTTTCTGTGTGTTTTTACTAAGATTTTAAAATTATTTTGCAAATTCTGAACATTAATATTTGCAACCTGATAAATGAATATATACCTTACAATTTCTGGCAGCTTCATACTTTGTCACCTGGACTAAGTACTTCTGGTATTCAGCAGGAGCTTCCTTTTGGATCTTTTGAAATCTTTCGGTTGATGATGTTAGCATCTGCAATTTTGTATGAAAAAATTCGGTTAGTTACGAGCGATATTTAAACCAATATGTTATCAAGAGTACGACAACCCATTGGAATATAAAGACAGCTCGATGCTCAAAACATCTCGAATTCATATAAAATCAGGAGAAAACTCGTATTTCAAGGGGCGTGACGTAGACATCCTTTCATCTTCCAAAAAAAAAAGTAAAATTTTCAATCTCTACAATAATTATATTGGCAACTCTGCATTTTCCAAGTACAATTAACACACAAACTTTAACATGGACTTGTCTCAAAAGGACAAATTTGGACATTGGACACTATAGAGATGTTGTTATAGAGTGGTCTGACTATATGTGTAATTCATATATAATATGTGTATAATCATTTATAATCATTGTATAATCTATGTATATGCCGGCAAAAAAAAGTAAACAGTGAGTTCAGCCGGCTATTTGTGTAAAGATAGAAGAATAAATTGTTTGATACTTACAAGTACACGAACTTGTCTTCTACAAAGGTAAAGAGCAATAACTCTTCCAAGTTTAGAGGTGGCTCCAGATAAGAAAGCCTCAGTTACATCCTCTGGAATTTCTTTAAGTATAACAGCTGCTGTTAAGGTATTTCCATGAACAACTCTTACTTTAAGGTTAGGATGTTTGTTTACAAATAATGTCCCTCCTCCATTTAGTGCCTCATTCTGCATTAAAAAAAAGAGTTTATGTTTTGTGTACTGTATATATAAAAATATTTACGCAATCAGTTTATTTATAAGGCAATTACGCGTAATAATATGTACCGCCTAAATACTATAAAAGGAGAAATGCTCTCTATAAGAATTATTTTATGAGAAAAAGTTAAATGCTATTCCTCCTATCATTTTTAACATTAGAATAAGGACATGGATTCAGAGGCGGACCTACCGTTAGAGTAGGAGGGTCACAGGACCCGAAAATTTTGAAAAACAAATTGTATATACGTGTATATATCTTAAATAACAGGTATATATTTTGATTGATACCGTAAGACTCAAAACTTCGTCAACTGCACTAGTCAATTTAGGGGGGCACAGCTTGGCTTTTCAACTGCATTATCCTCATGAGTTCGATTCCTACTTCAGTATTTCTCAAATTTTTATTTGATAGTGATGTCCTCGCCACTTTCAATTACTAGGTCCGCCTTTGCTTGCGTGGACCCTGTAGTACTTGAAGCGTATGTCATTTTCATCATAAATGATTAATCAATGATCAATTGATCACAGCTCTGAGATAAGTGTCAAGGCAGTTTCCTTTGACAGCAATTAATAGTACTACTACGTTCACAAACTTTATTGTAGCATTAAATGAAGGTCGACTTGCGTAGCAAAGTTTTATACTAACTTTCAGCCAACTACCATGTCCGCCACATGCAAATATCAAAACTTATACGTCAAATGGTACAGTTTTATTTCATGGTTTGACAGGGGCGGATCTAGTGTGTCGGTTATGGATTCGGTCGAATTTAATATCTTTTATTCAAAGTTTGTGTTTGATTTGAATCCAATATAAAAGGACTAGTAGCCTGAATCCATAAGCTTCAAATTCTGGTATCGACTTTAGTAGTATAACATATTCTAGTCTACGCATTAGTCCTTCTTGAGATTTTCACCATGTGACAAGATCTTCATGACTACTAATTGTAGATTTTTTACGTTACTTTTAGAATTATTTCAATTTTATAACCGTAAACATATGATTTTTAGTAATTAAGATACGTGAAACATGTTCATGTTTTACAAATCAAGGGGTTGGATAATTTCATCCAAAGGTTTACTTTTATGAATCTGTAAGTGTGAATTTGCTCATACTGTCGATCTCCAAACTCAAATAAATTGGAGGGGGGACAGGGAGAAAGTTGTGGTATGTTAACAACAAGCATAAAATTAATATGATAAATTCTCAGACAACATAATTTAAATATTTTTATATACAGATGGGGGAGGGGTGGGAGGGTGGGGGGTGGGTAAGTACCTTGTTCAATGCAGCAAGGCTAATAACTTTGACTCCCAATCTATCAGCTCTAAGGATTGCTTGCTCTATTTGATTATTAATCCCTTCAGCTGCGAATGGCAAGAAATACTGCCACACCCAAAAAAAAAAATTATAGTAAACAATTTGAGTTAAACAACACTTCAAAGTAACAACTAAAAAGGTAGTCTGGTGCACGAAACATCATGTATTACACGGCTCAAACCCTTTGGGGTCTAGGGAAGGATGTTATATATACAGTCTACCCTGATGTAAGCATTAATGACCTATAAGTCACACAGAGACAACTTTACCGTTGCTCTAAGACTCCCCTCTAAAGTAACAACTGAAAGTACATCACATGTTCGAACTCTGCCGGCATAAAAGCTTGGACAGAAAAATAGGTCATTATCGGTCGAGTTTCGAACCGTACGCAACTGACCCTCTGCATTTCTCAATTATAAAGAGAATAGAGGGCTAAAAAAGAATATTTACAAACCTGAAAACCAAAGCGAGGAACCACCCAAGTTTGATGCAATCGACCCCTTAAGTTGTAGAAAGAGTTCAAAAAGACCTTGGAATATGCCCACATAACCAACATAACTACAAAAGTAATGGGCAATAAGGGAAGCAAGAAGAGCCTGGTACTGAAAGGTTTTGACCCAAATGATCTAAATAGGAATGGAACGTGCATTGCAGATGTCAAATCCACTACATGTGCCAAAAATACAAAATCTGGTACCCTCCCATTTTTGCCTGCAATTTTGCAACAGTAGAAGTTTTAGTAGCCATTTGGATTTTGGACATTTGAAATTGAAAGCAAGTAAATTGTATGGTAGAAGAATCAACTCATATAGTCGTCCACTCAACCGTTTTATATTACAAATAGCAAACATATAATATGGTTTCTCCCCTTTAGCTGGATCAGAAAAGATTGTATTAAAGTTTCGATCGGTTAATAAAATGTTGCCCCTGCTAGTATCGAAAGTGATAATAAAAGTGAGAATGTTGTCACTAGAAAGGCTGGAGGATCGAATCTTAACTAACTCATGTATTGTAATATCAACCAACCTTTAGAACCAGCCGATAATAAAATCAAAAGAAAGAAGATTGGTTGGTAAATCTAAAGTACTATCGATGGACTTCATATGTAACTCACTTTTCCTCAAATCGTTTTTAGTTAGAAGGTTGGATGCATAATATATATATAATTTATGTATATTATATTTTGTACACAAACGGGTAGGTGACAATTTTCTTCACCATATGATACAAATATTTTCCAATGCTAATTAAGTATCTCACTAGTACAACACATAAAGATGGATTCAAGATTTTGAGTCGGTGGATACATTTATAGTATTGCAGATTTTCTTTTTCAACAATCAATGTTTACACTAAATCGATTAGTTAAACCTTAAGAGTCGCATATATTAAAGTGATAATGCATATTAATAACTCATATATAGTGATAAAAATTTATTAGAATAACACATGTCATATACTTATTGATTTGATGCGACTAGTCGTATATATGTAAGTTCTTTGTTGTACTTCACCTACTACTTCTTTATGACAATACATACAAACTTAGTATAAATGTATACATTTAAAATTTGTTCAATTTGCTTTTTCTCTAGTGAATCGCTGTCTCATTAATTGTCCTTGGGCTATTATGTTTCCCTTTTTATATGTTGTCCTTGTCTTAGTTATTATAGTTTAAAACGTTATATGAAAAGCCTACCTAGAGCAATGTTAGTTTCTAAGAATAGATATAACCTTGTTTAATTCTGTATAATACTTTTTATAATCTATATTAAATAATTTAAGATTGAGTACTTTTGCACCAATAAATTTAAGTTCTCAAGAAAAGTCGATATATTTACATAATATTGAAATCCAAGTAAGTTAAACTCGATCGATAAACTTTAACATCTACTCTAACTCTGGCGTCAACCAAATAACATATCCATAATAGCTTAAAAGAGATCATTAATAAGGTCAATTACTTGCTACAATATGTTAAATTATATATATTGTGTAAAAATTCTTTATTTTATCGGTATATAAAAGTTAAATCGAATATCATTGAGCTATGTTAAGATAAGTATTTACCTGATTCAACACTTAATTTTGTGTGCATTTCCCATGATTTTGGATTTAGAGTATTCCCTAAAACATCAAAAAGTGGCATAAAGAGGCAATAATTGGTCTCCATTTCTGTGTGGTGTAGGCTGTGATACCTGTCAATATTATGGCCAAAAAAATGAGGAAAGAATGACAATAAATGAGTTATTAAAAAAATAGAAAAATAAATTTGGGATAGGTGAGCAAAAAGGAAAACTTATTGTTTTTTCTTATATAAAATATAATTTGATACAATGGCATTAAATTTTATTAGTTGTCTATGGCAGAGGGAGGCACCAACTTTTTTCAACCACATAATTCCTTGAAAGTGTAATAATAGCTGTAAATAGACTTTAGTGCATTTAGTGCTTATCAATATGCCCAAAAAGATTTGCTGAAAACATTAAATTCACTTGTTCTAACTTTTTCTCGTTTTCGATTTCACGAGGTACTGTGCAAAATTAGTCACCAATTTACCTTTTTTATTTTGGTCCAAAATAAGTGTCCATTTATTTAATCAAGAACAAATTTAATTTTTTTCCCCAAAATTACCCTTATGTGCGTATCCCTAAAAAGTCTTTTACTCCTCACATTAACTATGCTGCAACATTTAATTAAGGGTAGTTTAGTCACACTAACTATTTTTGTCTAGAATTTTATATTTTCTTAATGAGTGCATATGCCCAAGGCAAATTGGTCACTTATTGTGGACCAGAGGGAGTAAAACATAACTCGAGTCTATATCATCCATCTTTTAAAGTTTTTGTGTAGTTTTAGAATTTTTTTTAATAAAATCAATGATAAGATTATTTGTCTAAAATACATTTTATTTCTCTCTTAAACGTTTCACTTAATTAATACTTCAGTAATTAGAGCAATAAGAATAATGAATTAAAAAAAGTTTCTTTAAAACATCAAATAATTTGTCAAAACAATTAATATTTTAGGGCCGAAAAATAATGATTTTTGTGATTGACAAAGTTTGACATGTATATACTCCGCCACTGCAGAGACTTTCTGCACAAATTACTGAAACTAAGTCTCATTATCTACGCAAACAATAACTAAAAGCCCCACACACACATATATATANGAAAAAGGGCGTGTAAAACTCAAACATGACAAGTAAAACGGATCGGAGGAAATAAGTAATCACTTACGTTGGGGTGTAGAGAAGATATTTAAGAGTAGGAAATGCTTGAAATAGTTGATGAGGAATAATCTCAAAATTGCTATGTCCCAAACATCTTAAGCAATCAAAGATCAATATATAACCATATATCATAGTTATTGATCCATATCCCAAGAGACAAGTTCCTAAAATTGGAATTCCCATCACTGCAGCTAATATTATGTGCTCCAAAAGTGTAGCATGTCCAGCTGAATTTCCACAAAACACAAGGAGAAAAAGTTTAGAACATCACAAATATTATACATATAAAGTTTGAAAAGTTTGAATATAACTAATATTCACTGACAGTGTAAAGATATAAAAAGGGCATGACGGTACACAAAGTATCCCACATACACACATGGTGCAGGGTGCAGGGAAGTGTCGCACCCCTAGAGGTGCCCTAATACAAATACTAATGACCGCTTCCACGGCTCGAACATGTGATTACACTATTAGTATTATTTAGCTTGTTATATCGGGCCGTTGTCTCGCTTACTTTTCAAGTTGCTAGATGCATTCAATATGGGTAATTACCTGTAGTTATCTCTTAGGTGATTTAATAGTATAATTAAATATTCGTTTAGACAATCCGTTTAAAACGTCTGTTTAAACTATCAGATTACTTAAAAGATAACTATAAGTAACAACACATAATAATTGAGATTAGTAACCTGAAAAAAGGCATGTGATGACCTACTAATTTGGTTAAAACATATTAATAGTGAAAAAAATCTCTAAAAATATTTAATATAAAAAAAACTACATTTAAATGAAGAAATTACCTGTAAAGGGTTGGAGTACAGGTGACGAGTGATGGAGTGAATGATAATGGTTGAATAGATAGCTTCCATGAAATTTTTTATGCAAGAAATAATAAAGGGGTTCTGAAATTGCTATATGGAGAATTGCAACAGCCATTAATCCTTTGAAGTCCCATAAAGGAAGATTGATTAGGTCTTTAAGCATGTAGAAAACTAGTGAACCCATTATACCATGAAGCAATATGAAATTATCCCTGCAAAAAATAACAAAATTGTAACTAGTTCAAAATTTTGGGAACAGAAAATAGGCTTTAATAATATAATCATTGTGAATTTATATAGCCAATATATTGCTGATTAGGGCGTATAGCATAATTTCTTCGTGACAGCCTATGCACGAAGTGTCTCGCGTTCACGCAGGGTCCGGGAAAGGACAGCACCCAAGGGAGTTGCATAAGTGGCTGATTTCACTGCTCAAACCCGTGACCCACATGCCACATGAATAACTTTATTGGTGCTCCAAGGCTCCGCTTCAAAAATAAAGGGCAGCCCGGTGCACGAAACATCCCACGTTTACGGTGGGTCCGGAAAAGGGCCTCACTTCGAGGGGGTGTGATGTACGCAGCGTACCTTGATGCAAGAATCAGAGGCTGATTCCACGGAACTTTATCGTCGCTTCAAGGCTCCTATTCCGGAATACAAATAAATTATAAAATAAAAAAAGAGATTCAAATTACCAGTCCCACTCATTGTCAATTTGCTTAAAACCAACACCTTCCTTGTTTATTTGTCTGTTTCGAGTTAAGAACAACATGCCACTGAAAGTATTCCAGGTATGATGCATACTGCATCTAAGTAAACATATAATGAGAATATGTAGACACCATGTTTCCTTGATATTGTCTTCTTGATATCTTGAGTACAACCATTTTGCAAGCAAAGGTCCATATAGTAAATACTGTTCCAAAAATAACAAGAAAAAAATACATAGTAAGTACACATTATTCCCCCATGTAAAAAATTTATTTCACTACTAGAAACACGTGTTTTCGGCGGACGGTTGCATCAAAATCTTGGCAAAAATCTAAAATTCCCAAGGAAATTGATGCAGCCCAGGGAGAACCAGTGAGGTGGGAGAATCCCAGGCTACATGAACCCCACATCAGCGCATTGTAATACCGATGTGGGACTTAAGTCTCATACCTTACGATGGACCAAAATAAACCACCACGCTTTGCATCCCTAGCCCCCGATGGCCGTGCGCTAGACATTTCTAGCCCCGGGCGAACACTGCTACCGACATCACCATCCAAGGCACAGTGGGCATAGAGGGTGGTGGGTGGTTCTGATACCATCGATATAACTCAGGGAGAAGCACAACCCCAAAAACTAGCTATAAAGGCGAGAGAGTCCAAGACTATATAAACCTGACATCAGCACATTGCAATAGCGATGTGGGACTCAAGTCTTATACCTTGCAATATGAGAAGTCCGTCGAAAAAATGCGTGTTTTTAGTAGTGAAAGAGCAGGAACAAAAAAAAGAAGATAAATAGATGTTTTGGAATTTTAAGTACCTTGAAACTTCCCAAGTTGTCCCATGGCCAAGTTGACAATGGAGCTTCCATGTTAAACAAGAAAAAAGTACTCAAAATCTTCTTATTATTATGTTTTCTGACTAAGAGTTTTGCTCTTGAGAGCAAATAGAAGATAAGAACAGATCCCAAGATGAAAAAAAGAACTTGAGAGAAAGAATGGGAGGAAGATTTTGTTGTGTTTTATAGTTGAGATTTGCTCTGTGGTTCTGAGTTCGTTTTGTTTCTCAAGAAAGTAAATTAAGGGAACTATGATAACATGGGCTGTTCTGACATATATATAGATGAAAATGGAAACAAAAAAAGAAAGAAAATTATAAATATTTATGTTAATTCTACCCTCCTATCTAAAAGGCAGGTCCGCCTCTTTTTGTTTATGGATGTACCAGTACTTACTGCTAACAACCTTTAATGGTTCTAAAAAAATATATGTATACATCTTAAATAATTGGTATATATTTTGATTGACACCCTAAGATTTAAATCTTGGACAGCTGTATTAGTTGATTTGTAGGAGGATAACTTGACTGTATACTGCGTGAGTTCGATTCTGACTCTAGTATTTGCTCAAATTTATATTCGACAGTGATGTCCCCGCCACTTTCAAATCCTGAGTCCGCCTCTAATTGAAGGTCTCAAGTTCAAGCCTAGGTATGTATGGAGTCATTTTTGGTAGGAAACACTTGGCGTGAATTCGAACTAAGCGGGTTCTAAAGGGAATACCGGAACATCGGATAAAAAAACAAAATAATTTCTACAACTACTTAGAGAATATTATTTTTATTTTAAATGCACACAGTTAGAGTTCCTAATGTGTCTTTATTAGTGTTTGTAACAGACAAATGGTCTTTGAAAAAGTGAACAACGCGTCAAATTTGTTCCATTGAAATAGGAGTAAGTAGCACAGCTGTAGGGATGGTGAGAATTTAATGTGGCAAAAATGTGTATTGTATTGAGGTGGGAATTGTAGGGAAGCAATATGGGCAATCATACTGGGGACTGGTCTTTACACTTCCTCACCTTTGTCTCGTGGGTCTTATTTTATATAATAATTTTTTTATATAATTATGGTGTCCGAATCAACGTTCGCGTGTATTGATTGCTCGCCAAATACTTATTATCTCCCTCCATTATAGATAATCAGACTAGCTTCCACAGCAAAGACATACCCACGCGCATTTCGATTATTTTGCTAGGTACTAGTACCCATGCCTACGTTCTACCTTTATAATATAGGGGTAAAGTTTGCATACATACTACCTTTCTCAGACTCCAATTGCATGTGAGAATACAATAGGTATGTTATTGTTATTGTTGTACTAGTACATGTGTCCGGAGCAGTTATTCTACTAGGTACATAATACCTCCGCCAGTACATGTGTCCAAATTATCAGGTTGCACACTTCGACTATTCTACTGGATACTTGATATCTCTCACCACTACGATATAGTATAACTTTGCCAATCAAGGAATAGAAAATTTTAAAAAAAATTACCTACTAGTATCTTTTGTCTCTATTATAAATTCACTTTATTGACCGCTACGCAGCACTTTTAAATATGTGTGGGCCTTAATTAAACACCACTGGATGCAATAACCTGTCACGTTGTTTTGTCCTCATTTTTATTGTTGGTTCAGTCGGTTCAAATTTTGCTGCTCCATGTTAAATATTGTTGGATCTTTAATTTGATTCATAAATGCATATACTAAACATTACAAGGGTTGGCTAGCTAGTGGGATGAATAGTCAATATATGGATCTGTAAAATAGACTATGTTGTAGTACTATGTTCACATGTTGGCAGAGAGGGTCCGGAATGGTAAAAAAATATCTGCACCTAATATTTACAGTACACAAATAGACATATAATATGTAGTTGTTAGTAGGATATAATAATTTAATCATGATTTGCAGTTTTATCTATCTTTTTAATCTGATACTTGCTGAGGCATATTTCAAGGGTTCAAAATATAAGAAAAAGTAAACAAACAAAAAAAATCACGTTGATTCAACGTTTACTATATACATGAAAAATATTTTTGACCTAATATATATAATGTAATTTTTTGCCGAAGGAGGTTTGGATGTATTCCATCCGTCTCTAGCTCCGCTTGGGTCTGCTGATAACTTTATACAAAAAGAGGAGAGAAATTCAAAAATAATCATATTTACAAGTGATAATTGAAAAATAGTCATCGTTTTAAAAGTAATAAAAATTTAGCCACTTTTCATGTAAAAGATAATCTAAACAAAAATACCGTTCAAAATCCGGAAATATTCCAGCACATTAATATGTTGGAGTTCGAATTTTTTACATGTGAACTTCTAGCATAACATGCTGGAATTCCATAATATGCTGGAGTTCCAACATAATATACTGAAAGTCCCTACACAGGTGCTCCAATCTTCAGTATATTATGCTGGAATTTTTCGTACACAGGTCAGTGCTCCAATCTCCAGTATATTATGATAGAACTTTTCGTGTTGCAGCAAAATAGTGGTTATTTTTTAATGATTTTGCTAACGCTAACTATTTTTTAATTACCAATCCAAAAACTGATTAACCCGTGCTATTTTGATCAAAAGGAGGTCGTAGCACCAGAATATTTGCTACTTAGGATTAATTGAGTCTCTCTTCCTCAAGAAAAATTAATAGTGGGCTACAAGTGGGTTAGACACTTGGAATATTGATGGATTCTATCGTATAACTCCTTCCGCTCTACATTATTGTGTGCTTATTTAATTGGAACTTTTCACAGTCAAAATCAACTGGCGCTTCTTGTGATAACTTTTCACATTCAATTTAGTGTTTGTACATAATTTAATAATTAATTCTACTTGTAGAAGATTTGCTAAAAAATTGCGATCACACATGGCTGAGTTCTGCCTGTTTATTTTAAGAAAGATAAGGACAAGACATTATTGCTTGAAATCCAATGGATAATTAAATTTCATCTGGTTAATGGCTTAATTATTTTTAGTATCAGCAAACAAATTTGAGCTTCATTGTATATTTCCGTGACAACAAATTTGTCACGACCCAAAATCTCACTAGTCGTGATAGCACATAACCCAACCCATTAGGTAAGTCAATTTCCAACTATTAAATTCTAATGAAATTAATTAAAAGAAAATATCTAAAACCAATACATCTCTCAAAGAACTGGTAGTACAAATCATGAGCTTTTGAAAATAGATTATACAAAGCGGAAATGAAATAATACATAGTCTGTTTGAATAATACATAAACAGAGCTTTTATAAATCTAGGGCTACCCTGAATAAGAGGCAGCTACAACAGGAACGCAGGTACATCTTCAGATCCCGCAACCATTGAGCACAGTAACAACGACAACCAATATCTGCACGCAATGTGCAGAAGTGTAGTATCAGTACAACCGACCCCACGTACTGAGTAAGTAACAAACCTAGCCATAGGTTGAAAGTAGTGACGAGCTTCCACCAAGGTTGGGTCCAAAACCACTAGTCCACAACAGTCCATAACAACATAAAGCAAATAATACCAGAAGTAACTCAGAGATAAAATGCTCAGCCAAATCATGATTTCAAAAATAATAGTTCTTCCTTTCAAGTACAATAGTGAAAAACCTAAATCGTTTACCGAAATTTCAAAAAAAATATGAATAAATTTGAAAGCAATAATTTTTCCAAAATCCGTTCAATAATAAATAAAATATCTCATTTTCTTTCCCAGATAACCGATGTAAAACAAATGCCTCACTATGACCATCTGTCAACATGTGTGTGAAATCATGAATAATGTGATACCGTACAATATGAAGAAAACACATCTCTATGCATACATGTCATGTGTTCATGTCAATGTAATGTATCTCAGAGATTGCACTCATGTACTCACACTCTCAGACTACTCAATCTCATTGTCTCGCATTCTCTCTCACTGTGCTCAGCATACTCAATCACTCAGCGCTATACAATACCTGCTGCGGCGTGCAGCCCGATCCCTGTTTATAGTCGACTGCGCTTACTGGGGTGTACAGACTCATGAGGGGCTCCTACAGCCCAAGCGCTATAAGCATGGACAACCCACGTACTGCACGGACAACTCACGTGCCATAATATAAATATCTGGATCCGCACGGACAACTCACGTGCCATAATATAAATATCTAGATCCGCACAACCAACTCACGTGCAATATTAATATAAGGATCTGCACGGCCAACTCACGTGCAATAATAATATCTGGATCCGCGCGGCCAACTCACGTGCAATAATATAATATATATATATATATATAAAGCCAACATGGCCTGCTGCGGCGCGCAACCCGATCCCAAAAATATCCTCACAATCAGGCCATCGGCCTCTCTCAGTCATCAATCTCTCCAGTCTCTCTTTCATGGGCTCACAATGTCATGAGAATATCCCAAAAGAATGATGATATGATGTATCAATAAATAACAACAGAGATTGGGATATGATATGCAATGAAATGAATATGAGTGAGTATGAATTTTCATTTTAAAATAAATATTTCACAATAATTTGACCTCCGTGGGTCCCAATAATACTGGCACAGAGCTTCAACATGATTTTTAATATGCATTTCAGCTCAATTTCTTTAACTCATAAAATCGCATTGAAAATGCCAAGATCATTTAACTACAAAATTCAACAGAAACAATTATGCCAATAATTCTATAGTGTACGCCCACACGCCCGTCACCTACCATGTGCGTCACCTCCCAACAATTCACGAAATACATATATTGAGGGTTCATGCCCTCAACTCCAAGATTAGAAGAGTTACTTACCTCGAACAAGCCAAATCCAATAGGAAAATGGGACTAAGTCCTATTTTCTGAACTTAAACTTTCTGTCCAGACCACTCTTTTTCACGAACGCGACAGGTCCCTCGCGTTCGCGAAGCACAAAATGTGCTTCCCAACATTTGCTCTTCGCGAACGCGAGACACTGTTCGCGAACGCGATGCTTTACGGAGCCCTTCTTCGCGAACGCGAGCTCCCTTTCGCGAACGCGAAGGCAAAAACCCATGCCCACTATGTTTCCCTTCACGAACGCGATACCCCATACGCGAACGCGATGCACAACCCAGTTTCTCTTCGCGAACGCGAGACCCCCTCGCGAACGCGAAGAGTAAATCCTGCCCGTCTGAAATTCCTCTTCGCGAACGTGAGGGCCCACTCGCGAACGCAAAAGAGAAAATTCGAAAAATGCAGCAACAGATATTCAGCAATCTCACAAAGGC